CCCCAAAACCCCAAAACCCCAAAACCCCAAAACCCCAAAACCCCAAAACCCCGATTGAGGCCATTTCAGTTGATAATTTATTTATTTGTAAGACAATTATGGGTACGTGCAATCCAGGATCCTACAGAGTAGTCCCCAGTGATATTATAAAATCAAACTTTACCATAAAGCACATGCTGGGTAAGGGCGGATTTGGTGAGGTATGGAAAGTCGTAGCTAAATAAGACCAAGAAGCAGTACGCTCTTAAAGAAATGAGTAAACTAAAGTTGATTAAGAAAAAGTCAGTTCATTGTATTATGAACGAACGTAATTTACTTGCCATGCTTAAACACCCTTTTATCATAAACATGCACTACGCTTTCGAGGATAGGGAGAAACTTTACATTATCACCGACCTCCTTGTGGGAGGTGACCTCCGACACCATATGAAGAAGAAGATTAAATTCGATGAAGAACGACTTAAGTTCATCACTGCTTGTACTGTTGCTGCTCTGGAATATATGCATACCAATGGAGTTATCCATCGAGATATCAAACCTGAGAATATGGTATTTTCAAAAGATGGTTATGTCTGAGTCACAGATCTTGGAATCTCAACAATCTGGACACCTGAAAATTGTGCTGAAACGTCTGGCACACCAGGTTATATGGCGCCCGAGGTTATGACCAAGCAGAATCATGGTATTGCTGTTGATTATTATGGCCTCGGTATAGTTTGTTATGAAATAATCATGGGCAAAAGACCATACTCCGGTAAGAATAGGAAAGAGATTAGTGAGATTATTATGAAAAAGCAAATTGAAATCACTAGAGACATGATGCCGAAAGGTTGGTCTGTGGAAGCCATTGATTTCGTCAACCAGCTTATCAAAAGGAAGCCAATGAGCAGACTAGGATTCAATGGTCCTGAAGAAGTAAAGGAGCATCCATTTATTAAGGATACAAACTGGAAAGACCTTCTAGACAAAACTCTTTTACCTCCTTATATACCTAAACCTAAGAAGGCTGTAAAAATTAAACCATTGACCACGACTGAGGAAGAAAAGAAGCTTAAAGAAAAAGAGGAAGAGGACATGCTTCTTCGAAGGAATTCTGTTCAAAAGCTCTTCAACGGCTATCACTATGACATTGAGATTGAAAATAAAGATCTCATCGAAAAGGAAACCGAGGACAAAAAACTTCGTGAAGCGATGAGCAGAGTGATCAAAAGTAAAACATTGTCAACGAATATATCTCTTGAAGCTAACACAAAGCCAGATACGGTTCCTTTAGCTTATAAGCAAGTTTAATTTCAATATATAATAAATAAGTTGGGGTTTTGGGGTTTTGGGGTTTTGGGGTTTTGGGG